TTTTTTTTTTTTTTTTTTTTTTGCCAGTTGCCTATCTTGAAGGACTTATTTTTTGTTTTTGTTTTTCTGTTTTACATTTTTATCTTGTACACTATTCAGTTGATTGTTCTGACTTATAAAAGTGATACTATATTCCTCTCAGGAGCTTTTCTTGTGTCCTTATTAAAAACTTAACTCAGGCCAAGGCAGTAATATTTCAGTTTCAGGCCAGCCTGGGAAATTTAGTGACTCCTTTTCTCAAAATAAAATAAAATAAGGCCAGGGATTTAGCTCAGTGGTTCTACCACTTGCCTGGCAAGCTCAAGTTCCTGAGTTTAATCCCCAGTGTAAAAAAAAAAAAAAAAAAGCAGAAATAAACTAAAAAGAAGGGAAAGGAATGGAATTCAGTGGTAGAGTGTCCCTGGATTCAATACCCAGTATTACAAACAAAATAAACCCCACACCCAAAACCAGTTAACCTTACAGTTAGGTGGTTTAGTATTTGAATTATTACTGTATTTATATTTAGATTTTTGAAATATGTAATATTTTAAAACAGTTCTGGAGTTGTTTCTTTACTGCTTTCAGTTTCAGTATTACTACTATCTTCATCTAGTTTTTTTCTGTACTTCAATTGTTATATTTAGTTATGTTTTACTATATTAAAATATTTCACTCATTGATATTATAGATGTACTATATTATAAATGGAAGGGGTAAATAGTTTATGGCACTTCTAAGTAATTCATCTTTCTTCTTACATGGGAGTCTTCAGTATATTGGTTTAGAAAGTAGAAACTGCATGTAAGGTATTTTTTGATAACTGATATTTGAGTGATTTGAGTGATTACTATTGTGTTCGCTTTTATTATACTAATCCCCAGTGGTAGAATTTCTCCTAATAGTCACTGTTTGTCAATTAGAATCCCTTGTGGTGCAAATGGTAGAAAACTTGGTCACAATGCTTTAAACAGTGGAGGCTTTAGTGGCTCACATTGTTGAGAATTCCAGTGGAGAGACAGGCTTCTGACTCAGTTATGTAGCAAAGACTTGGAGTGTTTCTTTCTTTAAGGACTCAACTCCTTTGTGTAAACAAGACACTGCCAGAAGCTTCTAAGGGTACCCCTTCTACGTCCACAGGGTAAGTGATGAGAGAAAGAAGAACAGCAGAATTATTTCTCTCTCTTCATCCCACACAAGAGTACTGAAGTTCACTGTGACAGGCTTAGATCACACGAATGTCCTTTAGTGAGACATCTGGCTAGGGCTGATGCAAAATGCTACTTGGCACTCCATTAAAACCCTCACTGAAGCTGGGATGTGGATCCGTTTTCTGAGTTATATGGACCATGCAGGAGAGGAGCAGCTAGCCAAGAAAAAAAAAACAAACAAAGAAAAGTGAGAACTGTTAATAAGAAGAACAGAAGAAGGATGTTAGAAAAGCAAATATTTATAACACATTCCCTCATTCTCTGCGAAAATAATCTTCACTGGTTTGAATAGCATTTATTCAACAAACATATACATGTTACACCTGATTCTGTGTGCTATAAAAATACAAAAACCAGTCACATGCTCTTTGAGTTCTAATTGCTGTGGGAAACACACATAAATAAGTATGGAATAAGTTGGTAAATGCTCTAATGAAAGCATGAGCAAATCCTGTAACAGCACTGATGAGGAGGGCTCCACAAGGAGGGAACACTGAAATACAGGGAGGAGTTTTTTCCAGGCAGAGGAAGGGAAAGAGCCTTCTCCTTGGAGTGAGCTCTCCTGTGACAGTCTGCGAGGAGTCCAGAATAGTGGGCTTATCCTGATCTAGGGGAAGACTTGGAACTGTGGTCTTCTGAGCCCTGTGCACTGTGTGAGGGGAGAGAATTATTCCTTCAACACCAGAAGTAGCCTTAGTTGAAATCTCAGAGCCTATGCCTCAAAATTTCCCTGTCTCCAGGAACATTGTTTTGAGAAGCGCTGATATCATTATCCTATCTTTATTTTCATTTTAACATTTCAAATTTCCTTATCATCACTAAAATTGACTGTCTTCTTATCTTCAGGAAGATGATGATGACCTTCTTTTAAAAGCTGAAAAAGATAATCGTCAAAAGGTGTCTGGAATCCTTCAGCGTATTCTCTTGCTTTTCCGGGCAGCTCGGTGTTCTTTTCCTATAGCACAGTGGTACATCTTGCAGCTGAGGTGGGCAAGAAAAGTCATGCAGAAGGTATGTAGATGTCCTGATTATTCATGTGTTGTGCTAAATAACTGAAATACACCAGTATTTATACCTCAGTAACCCTTTTCCAAGGAATCCTACCCGTTGAATCCATGAATTTCATGCTAACATAGGCAACCTAGAGGGAGGGGATTCTTTCTACTGATAAAGACTTTGATCGGAATCTCTTAGGTTGGTCCCATCCTGGTCTATCTGTAGACAGTGTGATCTAGTCACTTAATTTTAGTATACGTGGTGCCAAAGCGAGCACTCTAGTCAGTTAATTCCTAGGAATTACACTTAATTTTCTCCCCTCACAATCATTGAAGATTAAACTCGATTCTGGACGCTTCCCTATTTCTCCCTGAGGTGTAATCTTTGTTGTGGGTTCAGGGAATGGAAAGTTCTTGGCTGTTTCCTGTCAGGATTCTCCACGAGCTCAGCTCTCCCCTTTGCTATCTTGTGAGAGCAGTTCATTTTGGTCCCAGAGCTGTCCTCCCCTTTCCTATTGACTTTCGATGAGCTGTAACTGCATTTTGTACCCCAGGTGGGCAAAACACGCAATGTGTCTCTTTATATAGCTTTGAGTCCTGTCTTACCAGGTATTCTTAAAAAATCAGCCTTTTTTTTTTCTTTTTTAGAGAGAATGAAGGTTTATGAAATTTAGATACAGTTCTCATAAAAGTATAAAGCCATACTTTCTATATATCATCGCAATGGAGACCAAAAGTAGATGCATGGTTGCCAGTGGCTGGAGAGAGGCAGAAGTGGCAGTGACTCCCTTTTCCACTTAGAGTAATGAAAATGTTATGGCATTGGACAGTGGTGATGGTTGGTTAACTGTGAAGGTACCAAACCACCGAATTGCACATTTATTCATTTATTATTTATTTTGCAGAATTGGGGATTGAAACCAGAGCCTTCAAGACAGGATCTCCCTAAGTTGCTAAATTGCCCAAGTTGGGCTTAAACTTATTATCTTCCTGCCTCAGCCTCTCAGAGTGCTGGAATAAAAGACGTGTACCACCACACCCTGTGAATTCACTCCCAATGTGCAAATGCCAAGTGTTCAGGATTTTGGCCAGTTCAGTTCCATTTGGCTACAGGGCTGAGGGGCCCCCATTCCTTGCTGACTCCACCTCCTAATACCATCTTGCTAATCAATACCATGAAAGTGTTTGACAGGAAGACTCTCTTGCTTCCTTACAAGGGGTGTTATTAGATCACATCTTTCTGGAAGTGCCTAGTAGAAGGGAAAGTAGATTACAAACTTGCTGCTGATCTTTCCTTCCCAGATGTATGTCTGTTAAATTCCTTTTCTTTCACCTGACATCCTCTTCTTTTTTTTTTTTTTTTCATTCTTGATTTGTTAGATAAACTGGGTAATTTGTATTCTAGATTTATTTGATCATTTCTTTATTTAGTGTCATTTAACTTGTTCTTTCCTTTTACTTTCCTGTAAACTGGTAATTGATCTGTACTCATTGAGGTAGAGAGATCTGATTACATTCAGGATCAGGCTTTCTCAGACATTTCTGTGTCCTGCTTCACCACATATATGGTAGACATGTCTATTCATTTCACTTTCGGTGATGGTAAGATTGATCAGGGAGGTTGGTTATGTCACACCCTGTGTCCAGTTCCCCAGTCACCCACCAAGTATTTATTTAATTTAGTATGCATTGCTGATCCTGGCCTAGAGGCATTATTTTTTTAGGAGTTGCCAAATGATGACTTTCTACTTCTGTCATTTATAGATTAGTTTTTGTTAGTTATATTCATAGATCAGTTTTTGTATTTGTTTTTAGATGGTGCATTTTGTTGTTGTTGTTGTTGTTTTTGGTTTCTTGAGACAAGCTCTCCCTACTAGTTCAGGCTAGCCTTGAACTCACTGTGTAGCCCAGACTGGCCTCGAACTCTCAATGATCCTCTGGCCTCAACCTCCAGAGTGCTGTAATTACAGGTATGCACCACCACACCTGGCAGTATAGTTTATTTTGGATAAGATGTAGGTACTTATATTTCTTTATTATTTTTATCATGACTGTGGAGAAAGCCAGGAATGAATAGCATTAAATTCTTTTTATACAGGCAAAACTGAGTGACAAGAGTATAAATAACTTAATATGGAACTGTTTTTCTCTTTTAAGATACAGTCTACTGAACTTTTTAAAATTTGTGTGCTAACTTTCTGAAAGTAGAGGAACTATATACTATGGTTTCCATTCTGTATGGTTATCTTAATTGCCTTGCTTTTTTATAGTTTTCTTTAGAAATTATTTATACCTCTGTTAATTAATATATTCTCTCATTCTTTCCTTTCAGATTCGTATGAAAGGCTCCCTCCCTTTGCTGAGTCCTTTCCCTGAGTCCTTACTTAATTACTGTAAAGGAGGTGTAGTGTTCTTTAGACCTGGAGCAGCTGGAGACCACAAACTTGATGATGTTTCCATTAGAGCAATAGGTTTGTCAAAAATGAATTACATGCTTAGAAATTACCCTAAATATGAATAATGGTGTATTTTTCACTTGATTTGGGAACGTTTCTAAACTTTTGACTCTTTGAAGGTATAGTATGTCCTGACAGTATTTTATTTGTTTTTATGAGCAAGAAGGTTATTTAGTAGCCATGTATATATGCATGCATTGTATGTATGGTATGGTATTAAACTAGGAATTTCTTACAAAAAATTGTGCAATCATGACCCTTATTGTCATTAGTTTGTTATTTAAATTTGGACTTTTAGCACTTTGTTGTGATTATTTTCTTGAAACTAGGGTGTGCTGTTTTGTTTTGTTGAGACAAGTTCTCGCTAAATTACCCAGGTTGGGTTCAAATTTAGGATCCTCCTATCTCAACCCTCAGAATGCTGTGGCATGTGTGTGTGTGTGTGTGTGTGTGTGTGTGTGTGTGTGTGTGTGTGTGAGAGAGAGAGAGAGAGAGAGAGAGAGAGAAACCACACCCAGCTTGGATATAGCTATTTTGTATCTCTTTCTGTAGCATCCCAAGCTTTATAATTTTCTCAGCTTTATGTTATTATTTTTGTGACTAGTTAGCATTTGTTCTCTATCTGTATCTCCTTATATAATTTCCTATTTGTATTGTTCAATTATCAGTGTAATAAGTTTAAAAAGAAATAAAACTTTGAATGTCATTCTACTCTTTTCTCCTTAAAATTAAATTCTTACCTTAATTCTTATCATTCTAAAATTAAATCCTGATCATATCTTGAGACTTTGATCAAAATATTCACCTTTAAGTTATTCACTCTTAGTGAATTCTTATCATTCTAAAATTAAATCCTGATCATATCTCCAGACTTTGATCAAAATATTCACTTTTAAATTATTCACCCTTAGTACTAATGTTACATATATGTAGTTTAGGCTGGCCTTGAACTTGCACCAGTCCTGCCTCAGCCTCCCAAGTGCTAGGATTACAAGCATGCACCACCGCACCCAGCACCCCCACTTTTTTCATATCATTTATTTATTGAGCAAACTAGATCATTTATGTAGTATAATCCCTAGAGGTATGTGTATTGACTTTGAAAATTATCTGTAATATACTATAAAGTTAGGAAACAAGTAAACTGATAGTAAATAGAACAAATTACTTACTCTGTAAACATGTTTTCATTATATTCCTACAACTGATATGCATGAAATATTATAGAATAACATGAATTAAAATTTTGAAAGGAACTCTGACTTTTATCTAAGGTATTTATGAGCGTGTGTTTCTTTATAATTAACAAAACATTTATTCTGAAAAAAACCAGCAGAGTTGAGTTGTTCTAATTTTAATATACATATTCACACCTTTTTCTTTCATATTTATATCCCTCTTTAGACTGCTTCAGAGATCTCTGTGCCTTGTGCTGGGTACTGCATATCCGTGATAATTTATCCTACAGTTGCAGGCAGTATCAGAAAGCAAGAGAAAATATGAGGGGAGAAAAGGTATTTACCAGCGCAAGAATAAGTAAAAGGAACAAACATTACTCGGGAAATTATTGCTTAATAGAAAATTTTATTCTTTGTGGCATGATTTTCTTTTGAGCTCATTCTCATCTATCCATCTAAACTAAAAAGGCAATAAATCTTTTCAATATCTATTTAGGACCTTGAAGTGGAATTCGATTCTTGTGTGGTTGAGCACTGTCTGGGTGCGGTGGAATGGGCTTATCGAATGCTACCCTTCTCTCGGTTTTTTAATACTGAAGAACTTATTCAGGATATAATTTTGAGCCTTATTGGAGAACTGCCACCAGTCAGAAAGGTAATGTGATTGTGGGTGGAAATAGACTAAAATTGAATTGAGACTTTTAAAGGATTTTTACTTTTTTTTTTTTCCCTGGTACCAGGGATTGAACTCGGGACCTGGAACTTGCAAGGCAGGCACAGTACCACTGAGCTAAATCCCCACCCCGATTTTTACTTTTAAAAATTAAGAATTACATGGCTTTTCTGTGTATGGCTTCTTTTCACATGGCATAATTCCTGGCAGATATAGTGTGGTAGAAATGGGGAAATTTTGGTTAAAAAGTCCAGACTTTGATTTATAAGATAAATGAGTTCTAGGCATCTAGCATATAATATGACTGTAGCTAATAATACTATATTATTTACTGAAATTTTATAAGGGGGAGATTTTAAGTATCTACCCCTCCCCACAAATGATGGTAACTACAGTGATGGATATGTTAGTATATTTAGCTGTGGTAGTCACACAATGTATATGTTTATTGAACCATCACCTTGTACCCATGAATATATACAGTTATTGTCAACTAAACATTTTAAAATCTTTATTTTAATTTTTTTATTCATTACTTTTTTTTTTGGTACCAGGAATCATACTCAGGATCTTGCACTTGTGAGGCAGGCATCAGCACCATTGACCTAAATCCCTGGCCCTAAGAGAAGGAAACGGGGCCAGGGATTTAGTTCAGTGGTTCTCCTGCCTGCCTCACAAGCACCAAAGTCCCGAGTATGATCCCTAGTACCAAAATAAATAAATAAATATTGAATACATGTCCTCATATTTTAAAAAAATAAGAAGGAAAAAATGTTGATGCTAATTTCAATCCACAGGATCATTCTTATTTTGTTTTGGTTTTTTTGTTGTTGTTGCTGTTGGGTTTTAGGGGATTTTGGGGTTTTGTTTGTTTGTTTGTTTGTTTTGGTGGTAACAGGAATTGAACTCAGGACCTTGTGCTTTAGAGGCAGGTGTGGAACCACTGAGCTAAATCCCCAGGCCCCACAGGATCATTCCCAAAGAGGCTTTGGTCCAACATCAAAAAGATTAGTACTAAATATGCTTTTGTATTTTGAGTTAAAATATTTGAGGAAGCTGGGCGTGGGGCCACACGCCTGTAATCCCAGCACTTGGGAGGCTGAGTCAGGAGAATCGCTGTGAGTTCAAGACCACCCTGGGCTACATAGTGAGTTCCAGGTCAGTCTCGACTACATAGTGAGACTCTGTCTCAAAAAAAACAAAAACAAAACAAAACAAAAATAAATAAAATATTTGAGGAATGAAGAGGGGAAAAATTTAAAAAAGGGGGGAATGATGTTGCTCATAAAACTTTTAAAAACTTTTTCTGAAGGTAGCAGAAATTTTCGTGAAAGCGTTTCCCAATCCAGAGGATATAAGAGTTCCTTTAAGAGAAAAATACCACTCTCTTCAGCAGAGACTCAGACACTGTGTTGTGAAAGGTATTTATTATTTCCTGGATATCTAATGGATAAATTGCCAAAGATGCTCTTGTTCTGAAAGTATTTATTTTCTGCCATGCATATACCTGTGTATTTTTGCTTTTCCCTAAAGACAAGAAAGTGTGAAGAGCAACACCCTACTCCGTTACAGAACAGATTCTGTGGCTTTGGAGCCAGATGCAACTGATGATAGGTCATGACTCTGTTAATCAATATCTGTGACCTTAAATGAGATGCTCTGAACCCCATTTCCTTATTTGTAAAATGGATATATAATTACCCACTTTATGAATATGAACTGAGAGAGGATCAAACAAGGTATATAAAATGAGCACATAAGCTGGCTGTGGTGGCTGAATCAGGAGGATTGCTTGAGCCTGTGAGTTCTAGCCTCAGCAACATAGCCAGATTCCATCTCTAAAGAGAGGGGCGGGGGTCATATAGTGTTTTGCCTGTTGAAGATATTTATAGTGTTCCTTCTCTATACTTCTAGTTATTTATACTTTTAATTTCATTCAGGATGACCTTGTGGATTTTTTTTTTCTCCCTGTACTGAGGATCCACCCCAGTGCCTTTGTTCATGGTGGGCAAATACTGTACCACAGAGCTGCATCCCCAGGCTAATTTTAACCTTTTTGTTTGTTTGAGACTCTATATCTCCAGCTCAACATCCTCCTGCCTCAGCCTCTGGAGCAGCAGGGATTATAGGTGTGTGCTCCTCTCACCCAGCTCCAGTTTAAACCATTTTGAAGTGTATATTTCAGTGGTATTAAGTACTTTCACAATGTCATGGCTTTAATTTTTGGTTTTGTTTTGATGTTTAAGATTGAGCCAGGGCTTCTTATGTGTGGTCCAGTGAGTACTAAATAAAATGTAATCTGTAATAATATAAACAAATAAGCCGTGGTTGTTATTAGCTTTTATGTCCCCAGAAGGAACCAAAATGGGTCCCTTATGTCCTGAATTGAAACATTTTAATGAACCACAGGCCTTTTGTTCCCTGTTTTCCAGGTCCCCAGACTGAGGAAATGATGTCTGTTGTCATGCATTCTATCTATAAAGTAAGGGTGAAAGCCCTAAAACGTGTGCAGAGAAATATAGGTTCTTTTGAGATGAATATTTGGGAACCAGTTGAAGAAGAGACACCAGGCGAGGTGCCATGTTTCGACAGATTTTCCCTGGGGACAAGCTTGAGCAGAAGCACCCTCACAGAACTGGGCAGTTCTGTGGTGTATAGTGATGTGGATACCTTCTCTGAAGCTTTGTCAGTTGAAGAAAGAAACAGGCTGCCATTCTACCAAAGGTACAGTTGATCTCTCCTAATAGGCATTGACTTTATTTGGAAGAAAATGCTTTCACTGTTTTCATGCAAATGATGAGTGATTTCTGATCCCAGCAACCTTTGAGAATTGTACTAACAATTTAAAAGATAAGTGCTAAACCTCCCTACTCACAGGGATAGTGTGAGCATAATGTGAGACATGCAAGTGCACTAAAAGTACTGTGTAGAGTTACTGTGAAACATAAGTGAGCTTCCGTCTTTTTTTCTTTTCCTTCTCCTTTTTGTGTTGCTGGGATATAAACCCAGGATGTTGCATGGCTAGACAAAAGCTCTGCCACTGAGCGACTCTCCCAGGCCCCAAACACAAGTGAATTTCAGTTTAGACTTGGGCCCCATCCCTGTAATAATACCTCATTATAAATGTCGCATATTCCGAATTTTTTTAAAAAGAAAAAACCCACACAGTGCACTTCACATACTCAGCCTCTAGTCTGGCACAGTTGGGTTAGCCATATCATTTTTTAAGGGTTTTTAAGGCGGGAACTTACACATTCATCTTTGAAACGTGTCTATAATTTGTTGAGAAATTCTTGCTTATTGTCAAAGCCCCTATCACTGTGATTTAAGCTGATTTTCTCCTTAGAATTTCAGTAAGTGCAGTGCAGTTTGTCCTCATGATTTAAAGACTGCATAATCAGCAGTAATTTTGTGTAAGTGAAGTGATCACACATCTATTCCAAACATCTGCTTTTTTAAATGTTGTGCTTGTTACCAAAACAGCTGTGCTTAAATGTTAGCACAAGTGCCCTGCAGGCTGCTTACTGTGCATCCTCTACACCTAACACCCTTTCTCTCATTGAGAGATCTGAGGATCTCTTCTACCTTAGGGAATATGTTGACCTGTGTGTGTGTGTATTTGTGTGTGTGTGTGTGTGTGTGGTAGTGCTGGGAGTTGAACCCAGGGCTTGTGTGGTAGGCTGGTACTCTAAACTCTGCTACACCTATAGGCCCTCCTAAGAATCTTGCTAAAAGAAACATTTGATCTTTTATTATTTTCTTTGTACTTTGCCTCACTAAAATAAGAGATACCATACAGTATTTTAAGTTTGTGCTTTTTTACTCAACATTGTATTCCCCAAGATTATTGTAAACTGCACGAACTGCAAACATAAACTTTTTTTTTTTGGTACCAGGGATCGAACTCTGGTTCTTGCACTTGCAAAGCCAGCAGCAGAACCACTGAGCCAATCCCTGGCCCCATATTACTAATAAAATAAAAATTAAAAAATTGAAAAAAGAAACATTTGGAGGAAACATCTAGCTGTGGTTGACAGCTAGATGTCTGCCTAACTAGTTTCATAGCAGCTAAAAGTGTTTAGGAAAAGCTTCTGACATTTGTGTGGTAAAACAAAAAAGTGCAGTCCTACTTGTTGCACATGATGCAAGAGTGCTGGAAGGGGCAGCCCCAAGAAACCCTAAATTAAAATGTTTATTGGTGACTTTTTATTGACTTTGTATTCCTATATTCTTATATACTGGAGAACTATTTTTTAACTCTTCTCAAAATTCCTTTTCTTTTATAATGAAAAAAATGTGTTCTATAAACACATTTTAATGTCTTCTAACAAATTTTATTATCTGATATTAATGTGTTATATTTTTTGACCCTAGATACTAACTTTAGTTATACTTCCTCATCTGAGTGATAGGTAATTGAAGGAATGGAAAGATAAATGACTTAATGAGTAGAGAATTTTCTTTTAAACAATACTAGGGATTGAATCCAGGGCCTCTGCCCTTGCTACAGTATCCTCAGCAACTCTTTTTTAAATGACAGCGTCTCAATAACTCACTGAGTTGTCCAGGACGGGGGTCAAACGCGTGAACCTCTCATGCCTTACGTGTAATGCCAAGTGCTTGGATTACAAGTGTGTACTACCATGCCCAGCAGTGGAGAAAAGTTGGGGGTGGGTGTCGCAGGGTGTTACTATATAGCTCAGGCTGACATGGAACTCACTATGTAGCCCAGGATGTCCTCAAACTTGTAGCAGTCCTCCTGCTTCAGCCTCCCTAGTTCTGGATGGGATTACCAGCGTGTACCACCACACCTGGCATGAATTGTTAATGTTAATTCTAATACCAATTTTAGAAATTAAGTGATCATTAATGTTGTCTCTTTTTTTGCTCTAGGAATACCCCAAGTCATTCAGAATTATCATTAGTTGATAAACCCAGTGATGAAAAGAAAATTGGTGATCAGAAGGAGAACCCTGTGAAGAAAGAAGATCACAAAAAGTTATCACAAAATACACTTCCTGTAATAGGTGTTTGGGAATTTGAGCGAGATGATGATGAATATATTAAATTTCTTGATCTCTTTCTGAGCTATGTTCTTGAAAGAGACCTACTCAGTTCCAGAGATCCTGACATTCCATTTCTAACCAGCTTCTCTGGACAGCTTAGAGAACATGAACTTAATTCTTTAGTTTTTGATGTGCATACAACATTAAAACGACGCCAGGGCAAAACCAAAAGCCAGAATGTGTTTAAAGCTGGCTCCTGCTTTGTTCCTGAGTCATATGAATCTGAAAAATCATCTGTGTTAAATGACAAATATGCTGTAAGTTTAGACAACCAAGCACTTTCAGCTTCGGAACTCATTAACCAAGGGATCAGACCAGTTTTAGAGAATCCATCAAATGAAATCAATAAAAGTAAAGAAAAAGGAGGATTGTTTGGTTTAAAGCAAAAGTCAATTTACAGAATTCAAGATGGTAATCAAGAGAAGTCTCTAATCCCGGAATCATCAAACCATAAGTTTTGGACTTCTGAGTCCATTAAAACTAGAAAATACAGTTATAAAGCAATTCAGTACAATGATAGCAACCCTCAGCTAGATCTTCCTCTGATGCTGAAGAGCACATACAGCAGTGTAGGAAGACTGCTGGAGTGGATGGTAAGGTGGTCTGATCGAAGGCTTCTCTGTGATTCTGGGATCACTCAGCCATCCTGTAAATATAGTCCAGTAATTCGTGTAAAGACCTCTACAGCTGCCATTCTTACCTCTTTGTGGCTTTTGGAACAACCTTATTTTGCTACATATAGGGCAAAAAATGCTGTTGTTAAGGTAAGTATATCAGTTATCTATTACAAATGAGAAATGTCATTTTTAGGTTAAAACTATATTTCACCACCTATAAGGAATCACTAATGGAAAATTACATAATACTCATCTTACTCTGTATACCTAATATATATTTTTTTTCTACAAGGGGTTCCTTTACTTCTTTAAAAAAAAATAAAGTGCAAGTGCTTTCAGAGAGGCCGCAAAGTTTGGAGATTTTATAAGTGTTTACAAAAAAATAAAGGGAACTGGGGCAAGCACAAGATCCTGAGTTCAATCCCCAGTACCAAAAAAAAAAAGGGGGGGATGGGAATTGGGTGTGGTAGCACACACCTGTAATTTCAGCACTCTGGGAGAAAAAGCAGGAGGATCTCAAGTCCCAAAAAAGGTGGTGCCGCACCTGCCTCACAAGCACAAGGTCCTGAGTTGGATCTCTGTACCAAGAAAGAAAAAAAAAGGAAAAAAGGTTGAAAAACCTAACCTAGATAAGCAGATGAGTATCAGTAGAGGAATAATTCTGATTAGCTAATCTTTCTTTTATGTAGTCAATAGCAAGTGCCTTAGGCTAGTTTATTCTATGTTGAAGGGTATAAGAGTATATGTATTATGAGAATTGTTTAATATTTTTGCTTTTATGGTATATTTTTCTTTTCCTTCTTTGTGATCAGTTCTGTTATCTTCAGGTATACAGTTTATGTGATACTGTGATATTTGTTGTCTCTGAAATTTGTATTTCTATAAACTTCTGAGTGAGACAGAGGAATACATCCCTTATATTTTAGCTGCATATATTTTTGTCCATTGTGTCATTTTGAAATAACTAGTAAATGTCTTCATAATAACAAAGACAAAGTTTAATGAGAGCACTTTTTTATTGTCATTATTGTGTGTCCTGAACAATGATGATATACCTTATAAATTTGGATGATTTCTTTTGTGTACTATGTAAGAAGCCAGATTTGCTTTTTCTAGATAGAATAGAGACTTGACCATTGCTTCAGCAACAGAAATTGAGTTATTGCTGTAAATACTTGATAAATAAGAATTAGTTTACAGGAATTTTGAATAATTTAAAAATATATTTAAGAAGTTGTTCAGTAGTCAATATAAACTGCTATTAATGGTTTGTTTTAGGTGCTAGAGAATCAGTATGCTGTGTCTCAGCTTAAATCCAGTATCCAGAGGGACAGCAACACTGATGTTGGTTGTTCAGCTGTAGAAGCAACTCAAGGTGTAACTGAGGAAAGTAATGACTGGAATGTATTGAGTCAAAGTGTCTTCAAGTGAGTTTTTGCTTATACCCTCCTTTTCTTTTTTCAGCTTTAATTGAGTTTATTGGTACATTTTAGGGATACAGTACAGTTACATTCATTGTTGGGATCTTGTACCTCTACATGACAAGTTTTGGTTCTCACTTTTTTCCCTTATCCCTGCCCTCCCTTCACCCCCTCCTCCCCTCCCCATCTACAAACACTTTATTTCCATCTTTTCATTATCTCACATTTTTTTCTTTTCCCTTTTTACCCTTCCCCTACCCATCCCACCTTCCCTACACCTTTAGCTTCTTTCTTCCCATTTCTAAATGTAAGTAATCTTATTAAAATCTTCTGTGTTATTGCAGATTATTCACACCAGAGAAACTATTCGGTATTTACACGTGTGTCTTATTTATTTCACTTAGAAGTGTATCTTCAATATGTATCCATTTTCCTATGAATGAATCTATTATCTCCTTCTTTATGGCTGAGTGATATTCCATTTTATAGAAAAACCACATCTTCTTTATCCAGTTTCCAACGGATGGGCAAATGGGCTGTTTTCCTCCTTTTTAATAGAAATTTATTAGTGTCTGCATTAATGTGAAGAAGTAAAGCCTTGGAAATTAAAGAAATCATTTCTTTGAGCTAGGGGGACAGGAAGTAAGCTTTATTTTTGTTCTTGTACTGGGGATTAAACTTTAGGCCTTATGCATGTTATGCAAACACTGTACTTCTAGCTGTACCCCAGCTAGGAAGTGAGATTTCTGAAGTTCTTTAATAATTTGTCGTAATTTATACTTTTCCTATTGGTCTAGCTTGTGTCTTCTGAGAGAGGAGCTAATTCATCCTGACAGATCATTTTATTATATTATTTCCCATGTCAGAAGGAGTTGAATTAATCTTTTCATCCATTTTTATATATGCAAGTAAAAGGAATAATATATCTGAATACTATGTTAGCTTTCCATCACTGTAATAAAGTACCTGCAATAACCAACTTTTTTTTCATTTATTGGTACGTTTTAGGTATACAATACAGTGACATTGGTTATTGGGATCTTGTTCCTTTACATGATATATCTTGGTTCTTTTTTTTCCCCCGTTCTCCTGTCCTCCCTTACCACCTCCACCCTTCCCTATTTACAGAGGAAATTCCCTATTTTCCTTTTCTCTTATTTTTTCTTTTCCCTTCTTAGCTTTTCCCTTCTTCCCACTTCCACTACACCTTTAGACATTTTTTTTCCTATTACACAATATCATTTATACATTTTGATTCTTATTTACACTTTTAGTTTATCACACCGGAGAAACTTTTCAGTATTTACACGTGTGTCCTATTAATTTCACTTGCGTATGGCCTCAATATGCATCCACTTAGAAAGAGGTTTTCTGACCTACATTTTTGTAGGTTCCAACCCCATAACTGGTTAAATTCATAAGATAGATTGAAATTATTTTAGTCTTCGAAACTAAGGTGGTTCATTCAATAAATGACATTTTATTGAACTTCTATGAAGCAAATATGTTTAAAAAAGATAGCCTTCATAAATATGAATATTTGTTGTTTCCAAAAATTGGAATCAAACAAAGCAAGCTCCTTGTATCCAAGAATGAGTTGTAATTATAGTTGCTATATTTTTGTCAGTAGAATGTCAAATGAAGCAGAAAATCCTGAAATAAAAGAAATCAATGATGAGGTTATTTTCATCACTCATAACACTGAAAAAGAAATTATAGATACCAATGGGAATCTTTTACAAGTAGAAATGTTTACACAGGAAGGAATGGATATGCACATATCATACTGTGAAGGTCAGTTGATGTAGATCATCTTTTTTCTTTGGTTTTATTTGAAATTGGTGAATGATATTATCTGAAATAACTTATTTAGCCTTATATCTAAGTTGTTATGTCTATAATAGAACTAAAAATTGAAAGAGTATTGTATCTATGAATGATTTAATATATTAACTCATTACTTGGTGTTTTGTTTTGTTTTTGGTGCTGGGGATTGAATCAAGACCTTGTGCTTGCGAGGCAGGTGGTGGAACCACTGAGGTAAATCCCCGGCCCATAACTTGATTTTTAACAAAACCAAGAAGTCAGAGACATTTTTATGTTGGTAGTTATTTTACAGTGTTGGGTCTCTTAATTCTTGTGTACTGATTCTATGAACCTCTCCCTGTAGCCATCCTTAAAGCAGAAAGTCTCAGAGCTTTATATGAAATTATATAGAATGATACAACTCCTTTTAAGGCTCATCTGGGATTTACTTGATGAAAAGGTTTCCAGGTGTTTCTAAAAAATATTTCTGTTGGAATAGAAAATATTTCTGTTGGACTGAGGATTTCGCTCAGTGGTTCTGCCGCCTGCCTTGCAAGTGCAAAGTCCAGAGTTTGATCCCCGGTATCAAAAAAAAAGAAAGAAAGAAAGAAAGAAAAAAGAAAATATTCCTGTTAATATATTAATTTCCTATAATGTTCCATAAACCATTTAAAAATTCAAAATACTATGTTTCAAATAATTGGTTTTTTCTTCCTCTTTTGTTTTCCTGCAGAAGAACCTGTTGGAAGTCCCAATATTTCCATGTGCGTGCAGACTTTATCACAGCAGTTAGAAAAAGTAAGTTGTTAATAGTGGGTAAAATTATTCAACTTTTAGCTGATGTGGTGGCACACACCTGTAATCCCAGCACTCAGGAGGCAAAGGCAAGAGGATCGCCATGAGCTCAAGGCTGGACTCACCATGAGTTTCAGCCTGGGCTAATGGTGAGATCCTGTCTCAAAAAAAAAATTACTTGGCTTTTGGCTGGTGGTATATGCCTGTAATCTCAGGGCTCTGGGAGGATGAGGCAGGAAGACTGAAAGTCAAACCCCGCTTGGAAAATTAGCAGTGTAGCAAGATCTTCTCTCAAAACAAGAAATAAACAAAAAGAGCTAGGGATGTAGCTCAGTGAGAAGGTCTAGAGTGCAATCCCCATACCCCCCCAAAAAAAATACAAAAATGAAACATTCAGGGTATAAGGGAGAATTTCTGCCCTCCCCCACAAAATAATTAATCCCAACATTTCGGAGGTTGAGATAGGAGGATTGCCGCAAGTTCAAGGACAGCTTGGGCTACATAGTTCAAGGCCTGCCTGAACCACATAGTGAGACCCTGTCTCAAAAAAATAAAATCAGTTTTTCGTTACACATCTCTGTTATACATCAAAGCAAGACTATTATGTGGATCATAAAATATAGACAATCTGTGCAGCATTTTTCCAATAATTCTAAGAAGTGACATTTTTCATTTCATAAAGTGCTTTAGCAAGTTAATTAGGGGTGGTAAAAATGTCCTTTATTTACAGTATAATTCACCGTGGTTGCAGGTGTTTTGTTTTTGTACTGGGGATTAAACCCAGGGCTTTCACACTGAGCTACATCTCGAGCCTTTTCTCTCTTTCTCTTTTCTTTTCATTTTGATTGTTTCTTTTACTATTCCTTTGGCTTTGCCTTTTCTGACAGGGTCTTGCTGAGTTGCCCAGGTGGGACTAAAATTTGTAATCTTTCTTCCTCAGCCTCCCAGGTGCTGAGATTACAGCCATGAAACACCATTCCTGGGTAGTTTTTGTACTTGTATGCACTTTTTTGTATTATTTTCTCAAAATTCTGTACACTGAATTTCCATACAGAGCATAGGCATTTCCATGTATGGTAACAGTTCTTTTAAAAATAATTAGTTTTTCCTAATTTTGTAGTTATTTTCACAGGTTAATAATAATAATATCATTGTGTATATAATTTGTAATGTGTTAGTCTACTGATACTTGTCTTTGTGCCTTTACACGTTCAGTACATCAGTGAAATGGCCAAAGACAGTTCACACAGTATAAAGGACTGGGAGTACATTTTAGTGTTTGAATTTCCACTTATTTTTAGACTATTCTTACTCTAGGTGAGTGATTAATGTGAAATACCCATCCATTGCAGTGATACCTATTTGTTTCACCTGTTTTCATTTTGGGTACTATTAACAGTATTCGAGAGAAGAGGTTCAGTGTCCAAGGGAAGAACCACTGGAGACAAATGTGGAGGAAAAATCTGAACAGCAAGGGTAAGGAGATGAAATTATGAAGTGATCATCACTAGCTTTTTAAAATAATTTATTATACATATTTTATAGTGGCATTGTTTCTTAATAGAAAAAATTTTATTAAGCTTTTTAATAAATTATGTGTACACAGTGTTTTGAAAATGTAAGTTTATATAGATAAGGTTTTTTGTTTTTTGTTTTTTTTGGTACTGGGGATCAAACTTGGGTCTTTGCACTTGCAAGGCAGGCGGCAGAACCACTGAGCTAAATCCCCGGCCACCTTAAGTTTTTTTTATACTGTCTTTTAAATTGGCATCTTTTTCCCAAAAACTGTAGGTTTATAACTCTTATAGTAGACCACAAGGTGTTTACTGACTTTGTTATTATTGTCAAGCAACTCAAAGATAAGGAAAAGGGAATTTTCAAAATGGACATATTTCAGGCACATGCCAAAAAATTCAAAGTAAGGTCAATATTATAACTTGATTTTCCAATAGTTTCTTTTATCCGTTTTTATAAAAAGGGTCATCAATATATATTCTAGGGGCCAGGAATTTAGCTCAGTGGTTCGGCTGCCTGCCCTGCAAGTGCAAAGACCTGAGTTCAATCCCAGGTACAATATATATATAGATATATATTCTAAATATCTGTAAAAAACTTTTTTTAATGCTTATTGTAGTTGGTACCTTTTTTCTTGAGGCACATTCAAGTACTTTGGCTATCAGTAGTGAAGTAGTGGCACTGTGTTTCTAGTGAAATTGTAACTTCAATCTGTAGTTAAGTAAACAATGATTTTTGGTAGGTGTTAGACTGTTAAGTGTGGTGAAATGAAATAAATAATGATAACAAATGCCTGTTGTTCTTTCAACACTATCAGCCTTTCAAAAGAAAATATAATAATAAATAGACTAGAGCTTATTCACCTATGAAGGAACTACTTTTCCATACTGATTCCATTTTTATTGAATAAAAGAACTATTAAAGTAATTACATATGATATTTCACTGTTAGACTTTGTTTACCCTGCTCTCTCCATTACAGCCATGATATGCAAGTATGCTGAATGGCTTATTGCTTCATATGAATCCTTTTTTTTTTTGTACCAAGGATCAAACTGGGGAGCTTGGCTTACGAGGTAGGCAGTGGCACCTCTTGAGCTATATCCCTATCCTGGCTTATCGTTGCTTCAAAGAAAGTTGAAGGCAGTTTTCATATGTTGCAGTTTGGACATGATTTCTTCATTTTTAGAATTTTAAAAGTGTTAGGATTTTAGAATTACCTTGACTAAAAGCATAAGAAGCAACATAAGTATATTTACTTTATCTTCTCAATGTGCAAATTTTGTTAGTTATACTATGAATATGTTATTAACAAAAAAATGGAGTTTTTTATTTTTTATTTGTTGGGGGTTTTTTTCTGTCTCTTATATTGTTTTTTTTTTTAATTGAGGTTATTGGTACAATCTAGGTATACAACACAATTACATTCATCATTGGGATTCTGTACCTTTACATAATAGGTCTTGATTCTCATTTTTACCCTTGTCCCTGCCCTCCCTTCACCCCCTCCTCCCATCCCAATTTACAAACACTTTATTTCCATTTTTTCAGTTTCTCATATTTTTTTTCCTCTCCCTTATTACCTTTCTCCCACCCTTCCCACTTTCCTTACACCTTTAGCCCTTTACTTCCTATTTCACATTATTAATTGTCTCATTAGGATCCTGTGTATTATTATACCTTTTCACACCAAAGAAACTATTCGGTATTTCAGTTAAAGAACTCTCTGTATGAACATTAAAAATAGGGAATCCTAAAATAAAACTAAAAAGGAAAGTAAAAGAGAAAAGGCAATGATGTAAGATTAAAATAATCCTTAATTCTGGAGATGACAATGGTCCCTGATTTAGAGAATACTTAATTAGTTTCTGTAATCAAACCCACATAGATATGACCTTACATATTTAGTACGATGTGTTATCCCTGTACACATGGAAAAAAAAAAATTAACATTTCTAGACCAATATGGTTGTCCATTTCTGTACAATGCCAAGTCAACACAGTAAATTGGGATGACTTTTTCCAAAGTTGGCAGCACTGTTAAAGTTTCCCAAAATTCAATTTATATATGTGTGTGTGTGTGTGTGTATATAGAAAGACTAATAATAGTTTATTGTGCATCGATAGCAGCAACAGCTTTTCCAGGTTCTGCAGTCATCTGAACAAAATTATGGACATTCAGCACATTACATTAAAAAAAAAGAAAAGAATAATATCCAGACAACAGCAAAGTTCTGTTGCTGCTGTGGTACCTGGCACCATTTTATCTATTAGCCTCTTAATCATCATCTGGAAAGAGAACTTTCTAGAGTAATATCATTACGTGTAGCTCTGATAAAGCACGGTCCCTACTATGTATCATAAAGCAGGTACTAGATATTTTACATTCATAGAGGTATGATACAGTTCTGTCCTACATCAATAATACTAGATTCAGTTTTGGTTTGAAATTTACTTTGTCTGCAAATAAGATTGCTACCCCTGTTTTTTTCTGGGCTCCTGTCACATGGAGAATTGTTTTCTATCTTTTCACTTTCCGTCTGTGGGCTTTTTTTTTGCACTAGGTGTGTTTCTTGTATACAACCTATTGTTGGATTTTGCTTCTTATTCCATTTTGCCAGTCTATTTCTCTTGATTGGTGAGTTGAGGCCATTGACATTGCTGGTTATAACTGATATGTACTGACTTATTATTGACATGTTATTGGCCTTTTGTTGACTGTTTTTACTTTTTCACCTTCTCCTTTTAATTTCTTGCCTTGCCTATTTGATTTGCTCTGTTGGGCCTCATGGTGTTGTTGCCTTCATTGTCTTTTTCTAGGATCTTGTTTAGAATTGCTTGTAGTGCTGGTTTGGTATTCATGTAGTTTCTCAGGTGTTCTTTGTCATGGAAGTGTCTTATTTCCCCCTCCATTTTGAAAGAGAGTTTTGCTGGATACATCAGTCTAGGTTGGAAGTTGTTCTCTTTTAGTACTTGAAATATCTCATTCCAGGCTCTCCTTGCCCCAAGGGTTTGTGTTAAAAAGTCTGCTGTGATTCTGATAGGCTTTCCTTTGTATGTGATTTGTTTCTTTTCTCTTACTGCTTGTAGTATTTTGTTCTTCTGTTGGGTTTCTGGGATCTTGATTATCATATGTCTAGGTGTAGATTTTTTTTGGTTGTAGCTAGTTGGGGTCCTATATGCCTCAGTTATCTGAATGTCAAATTTTTCCCCTCTGTTTGGGAAGTTTTCTGTCATTAATTCTGAGAACAGCTTTTTTAAGTCATTTGTATTTTCTCCTTCTACTTCATGGATTCCTATCAGTCTTATGTTATTCTTCTTTGCATCATCTAGGAGTTTTTGGATCTATTTCTCATGTTCTCTTACTGTTTTTATGAGACCTCTCGTTTCATGGTCTCTGACTGCAATCTTATCTTCTATATCTGAGAGCCTATCTTGGCATTCTTTTATTCTGTTGTGTACACTTTCAATAGAGTGCTTAATCTCCTGGATATCTGTTTGAATCTGTTTTATGGATTCCATTTCTTTCCTATGTTGGGCGTTTATTTTTTCCATTTCTTTCTTATGCTGGGCCTTCATGGCTTCTATCATGGTCCTGAGCTCATCTATTTTTTTGTCAGTTTCTGCTCTAGAGTCTCGAGTCACGACTTCCATTTTGCTCACTATCTCTATGGTTATCTGGGAAATTATTTCTGTTTTGAATTTTTCTAGAGCCTGATTGATCTGTTTTGTTACTTCCTGTGCTTTGAGTTCAGGGTGTCCTGGTGGTTCACTATCGGCCTTTTCGTCCTCATTTTCCCTACTGTTTGCCATTGGTGTACTGGAAGTCTGTCCTTGTGTCTTGCTTAAGTGTTTTCTCATTTTAATTTTTGTTGTGGGACTGTCCTTGGTCTAATTTCTGGATTATCACCCAAATCTTCCTGATATAGTTGCACCCTAGCTTCTGTGTCTCTAACGACCCACAGACATTCTCATCTGCATAACATCAGAGAAAGCAGCTCATCAATTCAACGGCAATGCTTTACCCCAACTGATACAATCAACAACACATTGAGATCAAGCACAACTTGGACACTGACCACCTGTGGTAGTCACACTAGTCTATCACCCTTAAATCATTTGAATTAAATTGAAATCAAGAAGCAGTCCAGAACATGTCTGCAGTGAACAAACTTTTCAATATAGTATATTTACCATTTAATGGCTCAGACAAAGTGAGGATGCAAGACCCCTGATCTCATTTAGCTGATTGCTGAGCCCCATGACGCTGACTAACCTCGGGCTGCAAGGCCCAGATTGAGTTCCATCCTTCTG